AGCATTTATTAAGTACCTACTGCATGCCAGGAAACTCAACATTCCTTTTGCTGCTGGTGGGACTTTCTGGTATTTAAGATCTTTGAGATTTATATGTGGAAACTTGGAGCTCCATATCTAGGGGAAAGGAAGAACAGAAAGAAATAAGAAAGGAAGGAAAGAAAGAAGAAAAGAGAAAGAAAAAAGGAAGGAAGGAAGGAAAGAAAGAAAGAAAAATAGAAGAAAAGAAACAAAAAAGAGGGAAGGAAGGAAAGAAGCCTAGTGCTCTGAGCTGCATTTGCATGTATTGTTCCTGGCTTAAGTCTTTTCATCCTTTCTTTCCTCCCCTTTTAGCCAAGCTCAGCAATGAGAGTACAGACTTTATTTTTTGGTCTGGATCTGTAATCTTATTGGCACAGGGAACTCTACCAATTCTACTCAGCACCTTCCCTCCCACTAACAGCCTTTGAGAGCAGCCTGGAGTCTCAGAGGTGAATCCTTCTCTGTCTGTCTGCCTTTCTGTCTGTCTGTCTGTCTGTCTGTCTGTCTGTCTTCTAAGGAATTTGTAGCCTAGAGGCACTCCCCAGAGCTGGTTTGATGAAGTTTTTTGGTCACTATCCTTACTCAGTCCCTGACAGTGAATTAGAGCCAGAGGGCATGTAGGTCTTTCTGGTAAGGGGAAGGGGGGGGGAGCACGGGCCAGTTATGGAAATGGAGTTGTCAAAGTGCTCATAGGTACCAACTCACACCAAATTTCTTGTGCCCACTTTGGGATCTGCTGAGGTGCTGGCCCAAATCCATTCCCTTCAGGAGCTCAACTGAGCCTCTCTCATGCTGGTGAGCATGGCTGCCCTTGTCAATAGCCCAATGGATCGCCATTGGCTGCCTGCCTCCTTCCTGGGCTGCGTCAGGATTCCAGGCTCTCCTCATTGTCTGTTTGAGCCATAGTCTGCCAGCCTCTGCTGTTCATCTTGCCCAGGATTTGACGTGTTCCTCTGTTTTAATAGCCTCATCTCTTTCCTGATACTACAAAGGCTCTATGCATTTATCACTAGTGCCGCTGTGCCAGACCAGGTAAAGGTAGATGTCGCCCAGGGCCAGCCTTCTTCTGATATCCTCTGTCCCCAGGCTCATTCATCCAGTTCTTGTCTGGCCAGCTTTTGGAAGAACCATCCTCCTTCTGCCGGGACAATGCCAAGGTGGGTGTCTTCCTGGAATCCTTGCCTGGAGGCTTTGTGACTGAAGCTTGTGGAAAGCCCCCTGCAGGTCTGCTTCTCCTCCTCTAACCAGCCTTTCTCCATCTCCCTCACTGGGTCTGAGTTCTCTTCCTGACTCCATCAAGCAGGTGCTTCCCAAGCCTGTGGCCCCGTGGTCCCGTGGCCCCGCAGCCCCGCAGCCCCGCAGCCCCAGGTTTCTCCCCAAGAGCAGCCCACTGGCTTTCTCTGTCACAGATGCCCTGTGGGATGCCCCTCATGCTGCTTCTTGTGAGATATCCCATATTGCAGCCCACTCGTCATAGGTCGTGCCTTGACTTGTCACGTCTACCAGCATCAGAAGATGAAGATGCACTAGGCAGCTAGCCTGAGCCAAGCACAGGCAGAGGATTCAGGCTCCATGTGACACCATTCAAAAGGTTTGACTGAAAGATCACTTTTTGTGCTATGTGAAAGGGGGGATGGTAGAAATAATTGCCAGGCACCGTGGGCAGCTTTGTTACCTTTTAAGGCAGATGTGCTGCAGAGGAAGTAAAGGTCTCCTAGATGAAATGGGAGAAGGGAGCTAGGGGTTTTTACAAGTGACATTTGACAGAGGATCAGAAACCTAGAGCAGGAAAGAGCCTCTGGGGCCCCAGAGTCCAACCCCTTCATTCCTCAAAGGGAGGCAAAGGGACTTGTCTGAGGTCACAGAGGTTCTCTGATTCCAGAGACAGCCATTCTACCCCTGTACCCCATCCTCAGATTCACACGGTTGACTGACGGGAGCAGAAAATACAATATCTCCTGGTTTGCTTATTCAATAAACTAGATTTCAGTGTAAGTTAAACTGGTCCAGGAAGTGTGGAATTCTCTTAATGGCTGACGCCATGTTCTCATACTAGACTCATGGCTCTATGAGAGCATCCCAGACTGGGCATGGACAAGTTAAAAACAGCTGACATTGATCAATCTATGGCCCTTTGCAGTGGCCTGGCAAGTCTGGCATTCTCTGGTGCTTCCTCATGGCACCTCCTCATCTTTAGGAGCTGTGCCAGAAGCAATTAATTAACCACTGAGCATTCATGGCATACCTACTGAGTGCTTGGTACTGGAGTGAAATTATGAAGAAGACAAAGAATAAATGATCCTTATTCTCCAGGACAATATATCCCAATGGGAGAGACACCGAGGGCCTGCAGAAGTATGCCAAGAATGGCTGGGAAGGCCCAGAATTAGCCTCGGTCTCCAAGGATCGGCTCAGCTCACTCATGAAAGGCACAGCCCCCAAAGGTTGGCTTCCATACTCTAGGTAGATGGTTATTGTCTCCAGGTCTGGAGGCTATGGTGCTCCATTAGTGCTGGGAGGGAATGCCCACTGGGTCAGCATCACCAGGCTTTTGACATCCTTAGCCATCAAAGGAGTCCTTTACTCCATTGTCTCCCTATGTTCTCTCTCGGTATTCACTTGGTCCAGCTTCTCTGCCCATCGTATGACTTGGAACAAGAAGTGGTGTCTGAGAGTTTCAGGGACATGTGTAATTCAAAAAGGAGGTGGGCTGGTCATGTGGCAGGAAGGTGGGACCACAGGTGGACAGCCTGAGGGCTGCTCTGGGATTCATGTAGTGCTGAAAGACCCAGAGGAAAGGCCTCCTGAATGGAGGACCCAAGGGAAGGCATGGCCAGCAGCTACAGAGACGCAGAGGCAGAGATGGGCTGCAACTGATGCTGTTGGATGCATTCCATGCATCCGGGAGTCCCCACAGCCCCCCACTCTCTTACAAGGCATACTATGGGGGAAGAGTAGAGGCAGTTTGGAGAGAAGAGGGTGGCCATGTTCTTTCCCAGGCCCTCCTTGGCTGAGACTGTTGGCTACTCCCACCCACCTCCCCCCACACCCACCACTGCTGGAGCCAGAAGCTGATGATGTGCTCATAGAGATATGTGGAAAGAGCCCTGGACCCAGAATCAAATCCTTCCCCTGCCAGGTACTGCCTGGGCAAGTGACCTTGGAGTCCAGATGGGTCTCATCTGTTGAAAGACAAAGAGAAGGACAAAGCAGGTGTGCTGGTACTATTAAAGCCTGGCCTCTTGGCCACCAGCCCAAAGCGTATCCCATTGGAATTCAAGAAGAAACCAGGACACAGATTCTCATACCAAGGGGTATTTTTTAATTATTAGATAGAACACTGAGTTAGAGGCAAACAGCATTGGTCTTCAGACATTCAGTTTTTCAGGCAAATGCATCTCATCCCAGTTTGAGAGAGTCTATGTGTTTCCTGGACCCCTGCCTACTGCACCTCACATCTTTGGCAAGGAGGGCACTCAGGGGGCTGCCTCAGAATTGAGGGTAAGGCATCCAAAGAAAGAATGAGAAGCCTCCCACCCACTCCCCATCCCTTGTTCAGTCCCAGGCCATAACGAAGAAGAGAAATCACTGGAGACAGCTAGGCTTTGGTTCTGAAAAGCGACACTTCAGTGGGCAGGATAGAAGCCTCTGGGCAATCACTTTACTTGCTTTATTGCTTTGTATCAAAATCAATCAAACTGACATTGATTTCAAGGCCATTGAGGATTAGAGTTCACCTTCTCCATCTTTAGCTAGAGGCTACAAATTGAGCTGGAATACAAGGAGGAGGAGACTGAAGGGGGGAGACATTCTGGGACAGCACATCCATGTGAACTATAGCCTTTGGTGGGCTGGGGAGAGGGAAGAGGAGCCAGGTCTTTTTTTCCTAGGAGACGCTAAATGAGCCCCCCTGGATTCTGAGGGAAGAGGGATGGCAGTGTCTCCTTTCCCCAGCAGGAAGGTTATAGTAAACGGTCCTAGGAAAATAGGGATTTTGGTTTGGCAGCCCCAGATTTGGGCTTCTTCTAACCCCCGACTCTGATCCCTGAATTTGACAGGCCTAAGAACCCCACAAGAATGCCAGGCTCTCTGCCAAATGGAAGTGAGAGTGCTGGAAATGAAAGTGGATTTCATCAGATGCCCTGACCACCCACCTCATGGCCCCTGGGAGGCTGCCTAGCTTTGAACCCAAGGAGAAAGAAGAAGAAAATGGATTCTTTTTGATAGTAAATAGGCTCCCTTCACCCAACTACCACTGGGTGTATGGAATCTCCAAATCTGTCTCGTGTAATTCTCTTTACCTGTGAGAAAAAGTAGAACAAGGAAGGAAGTAGAGACCTGCTGGGACAGGTATCTTCTCTGGGTTTGATGGATATAAGGTACAAGGCATCATAGCAATATAGTATACATTGAGAAAGGAGAGAGAGAGATAGAGACAGAGAAACAGAGAGAGATACAGAGAGAGACAGAGAGAGACAGAGAGAGAGAGAGAGAGAGAGAGAGAGAGAGAGAGAGAGACAGACAGACAGACAGACAGACAGACAGAGAAAAAGACAGAGAGACAGAGAGAGAGGACCCCAATGGGTCACTGTATGTCCTGACAATCTGATACCATAATGAGATTCTAGACCCAGCTGTCTCTCCCGTTGTGGGGCTCCAATCCCTGGGGAGGCTGGCCACAGTTTGAAATGCTACACTGTTTGACTAATTCTGTGGACAGAATGCTAGGGCTCACATCACACTGGACCGAAAGCACAGACTGCGCTTGGTCCAGAGAAGGGCAGATTTGACTGCCTGGGTCCCAGGTAATGCAGGGTCGCCTCAGGCACGGTGCATTTCTTCGGACACACAGGCTCCTTTTAGACAAGTCTGTTGACATTCCACCTGCTTCCTGGCCCCTCCCCCAAATTCTCCCAGTCTCTGTTCACACCCAGTGGCAGGCTGGGCACATTTCCTCAACAAACTCTCTGCTTTGTTGCCATTGTCATTGTCGCACAACAGCCTGGTGTGTGTGTGTGTGTGTGTGTGTGTGTGTGCGCGCGCCCACGTGCATTCACATTCTTATCGTCCCCTGGGGGTCATCAGAACCGACAGTGTCCACATGAAGAGGCTGCTGGCCATTGGCAGCCAAGGCTTTCACTGCACAAAGTGGGGCACAGAAATCAGATGTTTTCTAGGATGTCCAGAGGCACCAGGCCCTTCTTTCGGCCACTGCAGACCTTGAGGAAGCCATCCCTTGCTTCTTCTGAGGCCACACAGATCTGGATTCAAAGGGAAGGAGGAAGAAGGGAGGCTCAGTGATGGATGCCCCCTCCGGGCACCGCTTGGTGCAGGGGTGACGTTGCAGGGATGGGAGAAGAGAAGCCCAGAAGAACAAGCTCGTGGCATGTGGCCTTGATTGGGGGGGGGAGGAGTGGAACTGAATTCACATGAGCATGACTGAAATGTGGAGCTACTCCAGCCCATCCCTGTCCTCCTACAGAGTGGTGCTGTAAACATCTGTGCATCAATGGGCTCTGACCTCGGCAGGAGAGAGGAAGTCTCTTACCTCCTCAGTTTCAGACACTGATTCTGTCAATGCTCAGTATCTGGAAGACCTTGTCTTCTGTGGCAACCTCTTGTGGTGATGCCTGAAGGCTAGAAATCACAGAGTGGCACACTCTATGAAGGGTTAATATTGTTGGGGAGCTGTGGGGCAGTGGGCATTAACAAATAGCAGCTCCTGCCCCTGCTGACCTGTGGGCAAGAAAGGGAATCCTCCAAGCGGTTCAGGAGGAAGATTGCCAAGGGTGGGGGGCAGCTCGAGCTTAGGCCGTGCTAGGACCTGTAGAATGTGCGCAGATCTGGAGAATGGTCCTTTGGACATTGGCTGGACCTTCTCTAGAGGGTGGAGGGGAGGCCTCGGACTAGAGCTGCTCATAACGAGAGAGTGCAGCTGAGCGGGAGCAGAGTCATTCATTCCTTTCACCTGCAGAGGGCTGACCACATAACATGGCACATTACTTACCAACCCTCGATGGATTGATCCAGTAATTGGAGGGGATCTTCACAGGGATGTGCCTGGACCACTCAGAAGGGAGTTCAAAGACCCGAGTGTTCCCTCCTTTTTGTATTATTTTGCCTGTGGCCCCTGGCCTGGATGGTGGGCTTTTTTGAATTTTAAATGGGATATTTTCTAGGTTTTAATAGCTGCTGAGGCACACAGCCTAATTTCAAGTATCACCCTCCATCTGTGGGTTCCATGAACCACTTTGACTCTCCTGTGGAGAGTGCCTGCCATTGGCTAACAGCTGGTGCAAATCCGCAGCCCAACAGTATGGGGGGCACTAACGTACAGTCCTCCCTCAAAATTACTCTTAATTATAGCTTCATAAGTGCAAATTTTCTACTAAGTGGTTGGAATCTTCTTAAAAAACATGCTGTGAAAACAAATTAGTGGTGGATTGGAAATGTCTCATTTGTGAACTTGTTAATGAGCAGACAGTGGCCAGACACTGGGCCCATGGGGAGAGAGCTGGGCAGGGGACTGAGCAGGAGGAGGAAGGTAGGTTGGCCTGCCTGGGGAAAGTGCATTGTGCTTTGGCTGACCTCCTTCTGATGCCAAACCAAAGGTCTGTCTTTTTAACATCAGCTTTTTTCTGGGGATGCTGCATGGCCAAAGGACAATGGAGAGATGGGGGCAGGGGGCAGATCCAGCGTGTTTACACCAAGGAATGACCCAGAGAAGCTGCACAGAGAGATACAGGCCTGGGAAAGGAGGTGGGTGACTCATAAGGGAAGGGCCAGGGATAGCCTGGGTCAGCTTACGTGATCCTTTGGTCAAGAGGCTTCAAGAAAGGCCCCTGGCATGCTGGCTGGGCCCCCTCTCTGGCGGGAGGATTGGTAGCAAAACTACAGGCCAGAGTTGACTAGGCAGAGTGGGGGGCATGTGGCCTGTGATGAGATCATGGATTCCCACCAAAATCTGGGCAGATCCTTCTTGTCTCAGATTAATGGGCTGTGTATGTGTCCTCCAACAGGATGAGAAAGTTTTGGCCATTCTGGACTAGATCTCTGGGTTGATTGGGGCAGGGCCTGTCCTCTGCCATTGCAGATGAATTGCAGCCTTAGAGCTGCCCAGAGTCTCTGAGAAGCTAAGTGACTTGCCCAAGGCCACCTAGCCACCCTGTCTTCTAAATGCCTGAGGGCGGCTCTCTCTCTACTCCCTGGACCACCCCATTCCAGAGTCTATGAGTTTTGCAGGGGTGGGGAGGCCAGGGAATGGAGGGGAGAGTCAGAGCACCTGGCTGTCTCTACTACCGGTGTGGCCTTGGGCAAGTGCCCTCCTCCTCAGCTCCAAGGTGAAAGGGTTGGACTGGTGACCAGCTCTAAATCTGAGCTCCAAGAAGCTCATCCACACAAAGGTTTTCCTTGGGACTCTGGCCGAAGAATGAGGCGATGGATGGTCTGGCAGCCCAAGCTGGCACATTGCCAGCTTTTCTGTTTAAAGGTGTTGTCTCCTGATAACCTCCTCTGCCCCACCCCCACGTGCCTCGCTGCCTCCAAGGCTGAGTTCTCCATCCCTCTCTCATCCCTCCAGGGAACACGAAGCCCTCTTGCCTTCTGTTTGCCCAGAGCCGTTGGCTGGGATCTCACTCTGGTCCCACCACACCCTCCCATGTAGCAGACTCCTCTGTGTGTGTGTCATCCCCTGCCTCCCCAGTGGGAGGCAAGCCCCCAGGAGCAGACACCGGGCCATATCATCCTTGGAAGCCCCAGCACCAAGCGCTGTCTCCTGTGCAGAGCAGGATTTGGCTAACAGGCTAGCGCCGAAGCCTTCAGCCCAGTGCAGGGGCTGGGGTTGCTCTGAGGAAAACTGGGGAGGTTCAAAGGACGTTTTGTTTGCACTGCAGAGAGAACCTAAGGAGCCCCAAAGGCTCTCGCTACTTATTTCAATATAATGAGGGGAGCAATTTGGGAAAACCTGAAGCTTCTAGACAGTCTGTGATGAAAAAGCCTTTTCCTCATAAAAGTTTGATGCGTTTCTACAGCGACCAGTTGGAGGAAATGGCTTGGTGTCTCTGGAGGGCAGGAGCGGTTCTGGGCTCTGGAGCTGGGCCCATTAGGACCAAAGAAGTGGAGCTGGGGTGGGATTTGTAGGCAGCTCCCCAACGCCCAACCCTGTGTGACCCTCTCTCTCCCCATATCCTCCCCAAAGCACACGAGGTTAGACTCTGAGACTCAGTCCTGAGAACCCGAACCAGAACCAAGGGACAGGGGGGATTCTGCCTGCAGGGTGGTGGAGCTACTTTTGTACCCACACAGGGGAATCTGTTCTGTGGGCTATGATGACCCACTCTGCATCCAGACGGAGCCCCACAGAGGCTGGTTCCCACGGGCTGGTAGCGACCCCATTTCCCAGTCTCTCCCTGGGTCCCTTCTGCAGACCCTGCTCTCTCTGTGGCACTGTGACCACCATGCCCAGCTCCCCATCTTGGCTTTGTCTGTTTCTGCTCTCATAGTCTCACATGGACAAACCCCTCCCTTCTGTGGCAGCCCCAGGCTCGGGGACAACTCTCCCCGGGTCTGTAACTTGTGGGTGGGCAAAGGGATGAACCTGTGAGAAGCAGGATGGCCTGAAATAGGCAACCTGCTCTCCATGGCTGAGCTCAAGGAGAGACTGGACAGGTGGGGGTGGGGGGAGAGGATCTGAGAAGGAAACACGGGACGTGAAGCTACAAATTTCAAGGGGAAAAAGAAGGGAATTTGAGCAGCTGGCAAGCAGTCAGAGCAGGTGACTCGACCATCTTACTGCCTCGGTATCTGATGTGTTGGGGAGAGGAAAGCTGAGTGCTGGACTGGAGCAGAGATGCGAAGTCTGCACAACGAGCCTTTGTTTAGAGCTAAGGTTTGTCCCCGGCCTGAGAGGAAAGTCAGCTGGAAGCCAAGGCCTCAAGGGGCTGTGCAGAGCCCTGAGCTCTCAGAGACTAAACGAGGATGCAGGAAGAGGGAGCGCAATCTCAGCTCTGGCCTTTCCTTTCCCAGGGCTCCTTAGGTGCTGTCTTCAGGACTGATTCCCGCACCTACCAGGTCAGGGTCTACACCAGGGGGTCCATGATGAGGGGGGCCTTTCTGAAGTGCCCAATGTCACTCAGAGCCAAGCTGGGTGGGTGAGCTGGGCCGGAGGGGCTTTGTTCCCTGAGCTGCCTTGGAAGGGCTGTCCCGAGGCCTGAGGCCTAGGCTGCTGGGAGCAGTGGTGGCAGCTCTAGGGTAACTGCTAAGGATGCCAGTGGCATCCCTTCACTCCCTGAATCCTCACAAAAACCTTTTGATGGAGGTGCAGTCTTACCACGAGGGCACAGAGAACCAGAGGTCAAGCAGCTGACCCCGGGGGCTTCCAGCCCAGCTCCTCCTGACTCCTGTCCAACCCAGTCCCAAGACACCACTTTGCCTTCCTCACCTCTAAATGTCACCCCAGACGACTACCCTGAAGGTGAAAACTCTTCTGGACATACAGAGAGGCTGCTAGGCTGCACAGTAGGTGGACAGCTGGCCCTGGGGGTCAGGATAGATCTTAGCTGATGACTAGCTGTGAGACCCTGGGCAAGTCACTTGGCTTCTCTCTGCCTCAGTTTCCTTACCTGTAAACAGCACCTCCTTTCCAGGGTTGTTGTGACGATGAAATGAAACAATGTTTGTAAAGTGCTTTGTAAGCCTTAAAGCGCTAACTCTGAACGCTAGCCATTATTATTATTATTATTATTATTATTATTATTATTATTATTATTATTATTATTATTATTACCACCATCATCCGCTGCCTATTCTGAATCTACTGATCAGATCACCAACTTGGGGCCTCCTTTCCTGGGGGTCTGTGCTCTTCACTCACCTGGTTCTCCTTCAGAGTGATCTGTCCCTGCTCTTTGCAGCCAATGAAGGTCTGGACACACTTGAAAATCTTCTCCTCTGGCTGCACGCGCTGAACAAAGTTGGCAGGAAAAAACCCAGTTCGGTCTTGAATTTTCCCCTGCAAGGTGAAGAGGAGCATGAATCCAACTCTTGCAGACTGCTGAGAAATATAGCCAATGACCAGCAAAAAGAATGGAATAGAAATACACCACCTTCCACCAGTCTTCGTTGGAGTCCTCCAGGAGCGTGACCACATCTCCGGGCCTGGAAGGAAAGAGAGAAAGGCACTTGGACTTAGGAGGTACAGGCGGAGGGCCTTAGAAAATTACCAGACCTGCCTGTTTTCTGCACAAGGACCCCGGGGACTGGTTGGCAGCTAATGCTGCTGACCACCCGCTGTGATCTCCTTCTAATTCATAGTCATTGGATCACACACTGACCCATGGTGGAGTGCTGCACTTTGGGATGTCCGGGGAGCGCCATGTTTTTGAGCTGTTGCCAGTAAGGCACTTTAGGGGAGGGCTTTGGTCACCACAAGATGTGTTCTTTAGCTCTGGCCCTGGGTGTTAATCTCAGGGCATGGATCAGCCAGTGCTTTCTTCCAGTTGACCAAATCTGTTGAGGCACCAGCAGTTCCCGGGCAAAGAGCCTCCCACTGAGCCTGATCCATCAGGAGATGCAACCATCAAGTTCACTGAGCTCCTGATGAGCACAAGGATTACTTTCCGAGCCAGAGTGGCTGGCTGCCTAAGGTGCCTTGTTTTCTTCCACAGCACCCCTGGGCCTGGAGCGGCAGAAGTCCAGGCGGGCTAAGGCGGCTGAGCAAGGCTCGCTTTGCCCGGCAGGAATGCAGCAATGGCTGTGGTCTGGGGAGTTCTTGTTCCCTACCCACCGGATAGATGCCAGAAGACCCAAGTGTGAGTGTGAATGGGGGTGCCATGACGGGATGGGGGACCACCAGTTTCTTTGTCCATCAATTAACTAGGATCATCCTCCTTTGCTAGGTGTTTATTTGTAAATTCAATCTGAATCTGCAGCGACTCGATGGACCGGGTCTAAGAGCACACATAAAAATCACATGGAAACAGGGTGGGAAGGACAGAAGCCTGAGTCTGTGCCATGCAATATGGGGGGGCTGGCCAATGAGGGCCCAGTCCTTAGACTGGTACCAGCCCACGCAGAGGCTCGTGGAGCCGACTTCTGGGCATTTGGGTTGGAGGGGCTCATCCCCCGCGCCCAGAACAGGCACAGACGCACAGGCACAGACACAGGGCCCTCTGACTCTTTCCCATTGGCTTACTGCACAGTGATCATGAGCCATTCATTGGCTGACAAGTCACAATGACAAGCGCATGCCACAGGTTCAAACGCGCACTCTGATCACTTCTAGGAGGAAAAACTGCTGTGCACCTCTGGGCTCCATCCTAATGCAGGCGGGGACAGTTGGTTCCAGATCCACAGGATGGGCCCTGCTGCTGGCTTCTTGTTCTGGCCACATCTCGAAGAGCCTGATACATGTCAAACAGAGGTGAGCAGGCTTCATGGATGGTGAGCAGCCTCGTGGCGTCGTCTTCATTCCCACAGGGAATGTTGTATCTTGTGAGGCCTGTCTGTACCTGAGCCCAAGAGCCGATGATTAAGTAATTGATGAAGCGTTTTGTATGTATACAACTGATGCATTCTGTATGTGTGCAACTGATGCATTTTGTATGTGTGTAACTGAGGCATTTTGCATGCAATTGGTGATGCATTTTGTATGTTTGTAATCTGGTGCACTCTGTATGTATGTAGTTGATTCATTTTGCATGTAATTGGTGATGCATTTTGTATGTAAGTAGCTGATGATTCGTTTTGCATGTAACTGATGCATTTTGTATGTGTGTAACTGATTTATTTTGCATGTAATTGATGATGTATTTTGTATGCATGTAGTTAATGCTGTATTTTGAGATCCTTGGAGATAGCTGCCATAAAGAGGGATTTCTAAGGTGGTATCACCTCTCTCCCTTGCAGGATCTGTCAGCTTTTTTGACCCCAGAAGATTGCTTGGCCGCTAGATGGCTCAGTACAAAGCATGCTGGGCCTGGAGTCAGTAACTGCGTTTGAATCCTGATTCACTCAGTAGCCATGTGACCCTACAGAAGTCATTTAACCCCTTTCAGCCTCAGTTTCCTCGGGGATAATTGCACCCACCTCCTAAGGCTGCTGTGAGGACCAAGGGAGACAATGCATGCAGAGGAGGACCTTAAGGCTCTCTAGAAATCCCAGACATCGTCAGCGTGCATCCTTATGCTCAGTGAGGCACCTTCTTCCCCTGCTTCTCTGTGCTAACTCCAGCATTTGCCAAGGCTTCCACATCTCTATGAGGTGCCACCGGGCCTGGACCAGCACAGGGAAGCTTCCTAGATGCTTGGGCGGGACTATCTACATTCATGCAAACGGAAAGAGTCCGAGCGACGGGCTGGCTCAAGTCGTGGTCCGCATGTAGGTTATTTTCTTCCAGCCTATCTTCGGCTAAGTCTGCTCCAGCGGCTACCACTGCCATCATTCACGAAGAAGACGAGATGGAACGCGTGTGTGCGTGCGTGCTGGGAGATTGGGGCACATCGTCCTGGGGACTGCAGCTTAAAAGACTGGGTCCTACCGTGGGATGGAGCTTTGGCCCGAGGGTCGGCCAGTCGGGCAACAGCTAAGGGGTGGGCCCTGTGCTGAGTGATGGGAACACAAAGAAAGACAAAAATTCCCGAGTCCAAATCCAGTCCCTGCCATCTAAGACTGTACATTCTAATGGTGAGAAACGTGTCCATGCATAGGTCTGTTCAAACTCCACGCAGAGTAGGGGGGACACCCATGGAGGGAAGACACTAGCATTGGGGAAGGGGGAGACCAGGAAAATCCTGCTGAAGGTGGGCTTTGAGCTGAAGCTTGAAGGAAGCCAGGGTAACCAAGACACAGAGAGGAGGAAGAGCATCCAGGGACAGGGAACAGCAAATGCAAAGGCGCAGAGATGGGAGATGTGAGGGAAAGCTGGCAAGTCAGTGGCTCTCGATCACAGAGTGTATGGAGTGGACCTAGACGGGAGGCAGCTGGGAGGGCAGGAGAGGATTTTGTATTTATTTCAGGAGGTGATAGGGAGCTGCTGGAGTTTAATGAGGAGGGGGTGTCTCTTCTGTCCCCCTGAGCTCTCCCACCCTCATCTCCTCCCACCTCTGGAATGGCTGCTTAGACCAGGGGTCAGTAGGATGGAGCAGAAATCTCAGGGTCTCTAAGTAGTGCTGGGCTTCAGCTGGGGCACAAAGGGGAGGAGAGACAGAGCTCCCAGGGCCAGGGCCACGTTGCCTCCTAAGGGCACCTTCTCCATCTAAAATCACATGTTGGAGCAGGGAGCTCAGTTATGGCCACACAAGTCATCTCCAGGGCCATTGAGCCCCAGTCCTAGAGGCCTCCACATCCCACCAATGATGCTGCTCCATCCTCTAGGTCAGCAGTCCTGGTCCTGGCCCAAGTCAATAGCAACAGTTAGCCTGATTGCAGAGAAGGCAGCTACTACATTTCACCTCTCACTATCCCAATGAGAGTTCACCTTTTTCTGATGGAGTAAAGGTTGGTGACAAGAGGGCTTGGGACCTCAGAAATCCCCAAAGTGACCCTATCAACCAAGTCTCCATCTTTCTGAGAAGATTGGGAAAAGTCACAGAGCGAAGAAATGGAGTGTAAGGGAAGGGAGGAGAAAGGAGATGGGGGAGGGAGAGAGAGAGAGAAGGAGACAGAGGCAGAGAGGGAGGAGAGAGAGAGAATGGGGATGATTTGGGTGAATGATGAGGATGCTCTGAACACTGCTCCATCTGAAGAATCAAAGAGAAGCCCTAGCCAAGACTTGGGTGTGTATGGGGGGTGGGCAGGGTTTGTGAATTATTCTCGTCCTTCACACTGCGCCTCATAATTGAGGATGCTGGAGTTTAACCAGCATGGGAGGGAATTTTCCCATGCCCCACTTTTCCAGAAGCCAGCACCAGCAGAGCATTTCAGTAGCTTTAATTGCTAATTAACTTCCCATTATCTTCAGAGGAAGAAGGGACAAGCCCCAGAGGGGCCCATCTGACCTGGAAGAATGCCCCTTTCCTGCAGAAACATGGTTGGAAAATCCATAAACCTTCTCATGAGACTTACTCATATCTTCTAGTCTTGATGGGAAAAGAGGAAAACAGCTTTTGGCTTGCCACAGAGGGATGAGCACGCCCCCAAAGCTCTGTGGTCAGTGCTGACCTGCCCACGGGCCACTGGGTTTCGTGGGACTGAAGCTGCCCAGAGTTCCTGGCTGTTCAGGGTCCCTCCCGAAGTGCCAAGGGCTGGGGCTGCTTTGTCCACCCTTTCTCAAGCTCAAGGCAGCTTTGATTTGGGTCGGCTGCTGATGTATGTGAGTTCTGAATGAGCTCAGGTCTGTGGGTGAGGCCCAGTCCGCTGGCCTTTCCTTCTTCCCAGGAAAGCCAGACCTTTCTTACCTCATTTCCAGGTCTTCGTTCTCCTGTGGGACAAATTTGTACAAGGCAACGTAGGTGCTGGTCTGTGCAGTGTCTGTGTGCAGAGGTCCCTGTAAGATGGGAGAGAAGAGAGGGAAGGGAATGGGAGCGTGGGTGCCCCTTCCTTTCAGGGTGCTCCCCTGAAGTGTGAAGGTGTCAGACCTTCTCGAAGGCCCCTGTTCCCTGGGGGGACTCCACTCTCACCCCTTGGGATGTTGCTATGATCACCTGCCCCACAGGCTCACTAAAGAGAAGGGCTGGCTCAGAGAGGGGGTCCAGGGAAGGAAGCTCGTCTGATGCAGAAAGAGGCCAAAGTGCCAGGAATCAGTGCATTTCTGTCTTCTTTGACCCCTGGACAACAATCCCCAGAATGGATGTCTGGTAGGTCAAGGGAGGACCCTCCAGGTGGGCCTGTGTTTGGCCTCAGACAAGCAGGCAGGTTCCCGAGATGCTGTTTAGCAGGGCGGGATGGTTGGGGCCAAGGGGCCAGGTAGAGGCCGGGGTCCAGAGGGCCAGTTAATGTCGTTGGATGAGTATCTGCTGGAAAGTGAGGAGCGAAGGCTCTCTAGTCTTTTCAGGAGAATAACCCTTGACTGAGCTGCTTCCTGTCCAATGTTTGGTAGGGATATGACATCAAGACCCAAGACTGAGGAACTGGCATTTCCCTCACTCCTTCATTCACTCACCCACTCATTCTGCCACTACTCATCCATCCATCCATCCATCCATCCATCCATCCATCCATCCATTTGGCAAACACTTAGTAAGCAGCTCCTATGACCATGGAGAATCAATGATGGGCTGTGGAGAGAGAGAGAGCCTCAAAGCCAGGAAGCTCTGGGTTCAAATGCTACCTCTGGCACACACTGCCCCCATGATCCTGGGCAAGTCATTCAAGGCCTCAGTGTCCAGTGTAGGCAACTCACTGTAACTCTTAAGCTTTAGGGGAGGTGCCAACCTGCACTGGTAGAGGGATTTTCCTCACCTGGGAATTTCTTATGCCAATAAAATCCTGGGTCCAGCCCTTACCGAGATTCCTGTATGTGAGGCCCAGAGGCGACACAGCCAAGAGTACGGCGGGTCCCTGGCCTCAAGGAGTTTCAGGGAGGTGCAGACAGTGGCTATACCACCCAGGAGAAGGGGGTCAGCCAATCCACCAGCCATCTGAGCTGTTCACAATCTATCCCTGACTTGCGTTTTCCAACTCATTTCCCTTTTAACACTCTGATCTATCCATGATGGCCTGTTGCTGTTTCTCTCGCTCACCGTTTGCCCAGGCTATGCCCCCTTCACCTTTACGTTTAAGCCCCATCTTCTACGTGAGGCCCTTCCTCAGCCCTGGCTGCTGGTGCCATGCCTGCCCCTTCTCCACGACCTTGTATCTAGTTTGCCTAAATGGTCCTTTATAAGGTTCAGAGCAGGTGCCAGTCTGCCTTGGCAGGGGGAGTATGCCCTCATCAGGAATTCCTCATACCAATGAAATCCTAGGCAGGTCTGGGCCCTAGCCCCCAGTTCTCTATCCATGGACATAGGCACATACTGCTTTTCTCTCCTGAGGGCAGGGATTATTTCAGTCTTTGACTGTGTCCCTGGGACCAACATAGTGACTGGAACACAGTAGGTGCTTCATCAGCGCTTGCTGATTGCTCAGTTGGCCTGAAAGGGCCAGTGGAGGCTGACTGTCACTGCTTCACGGCACCCAGAGGCAGACACTACCTAGGGATGGCTGCCACCTCAGTACCCTAGAAATGGGGTTTCCTGGGTTTGCCCTTGAAGGACCAGATGTGGAGTCAAGCCCATGGGGGCTTCTTGACTTTATCCGGGCTAGGTACTCAACTTCTGCCCCCACCACTGGTCCTTGGGTTGGCTTCATTCCTCCTCCTGCCTGAGCTTGGATGGGTGTAATAATGGGCAGGGGCTTCCAGGGAGGCTCAGGGACCACTTGGCCCTAGGCCTACTCCCCCTCCCCACTTATGTGGCAGACCACCCAGAGAGCCCCCAAGCAGGCGGACAGGACCATCGATGGAGGCCCCACTTTACAATGCCCTCAAAAATCTCACTGTTCTCTGAATTTTCCCCAAGATGCCCCAAAGGAATGCACTCGTCCCTTACTTTGGTAAATCCTGGGCCGTTTGTGATCTTCAAGTCCCGTCTGGCATCATCGGAGCCATTTTCTGAATAGGTAAACACTGTGGAGGAGAGGTCACACACAGAAGTCCTCAGGGCCCCGGGGATCCCTGGGCCACCTGGCCACCCTGCCCTCTCTTCTGCCCAGCCTCCAGGAGTCTGGGCTCATCTCCCCGGCCCCCGGGATCTTCCTTCCCTGGAGGATTTCCACTCCCTAGTGGACAGCTCTTCTAAATGTGGGGGCCGGGCCTTGGTGCTACCACAGGGGTGTGGGGCAGCCATCTCTGAATTATAGGTTCACATTTCTCTCTGTTCTTGTTTAAGCTCTAAGCCATTTTCTTGAATCTCCTAATCTGAAGGAAAGGCATCTCATCTGATTGTGGAAAAAAACATCCCATGATCCCCTCTCCCACTCCTAACTGGTGTTCTTTTCACTTACAGGGTTAGGTTAGGGTTTGTTTTCGGTTAGTATGAATGTTGTAGCGTATTCACACCCATCTCCCCCTTTTCATGGCTACCTGAACTGTTGCAATGGCAAACTGATCCCCCCGCCTTGTCTCTGCCCTTCCCCGCCCAAACTCTGCATGGCTGCCCAGGGATTCTCCTGAAGAGCAGGTCCACCAGGTCCCTCTCCTGCTCACGAAGCCCCCTTGGCTCCCTAGCGCCCCTCGGATCAAACACAAAACACAGACAGCCTGGCTCTAGCCCCTCTGCCCAGGCCGCTGGACCCTGCTCCCTGCGATGTCTGCTGTGGTCCAGCCCTGGTCCAACTGAACCCGCCTGTTTGCTCTTCCCCCAAGGTGACATCTTTCATCCCCCATCTTTGGGAAAGACCAGTTTCTAGCAGAGTGCCTTCACAACTTAGACCAATTTCAAGGAAAGAAGGTCATGATAGCAATGTACAGTGAGTGAATGGAGATCCTGTGGATGGCAGAATCGGTAAGTTCTGAAATGTGGGGGGGGGGGTTTGGGAAATCAGAGGTTACGCCCAAAGAATGTGGGAGGACAAACCATGGAGGTCACTGTGTCACTCTACAAGCATCTTTCCCACGATCGATTAATCGGTGGAGAACCTGCCTGTGCAGTGTGGCTGGGCGCCCAAAGGAGGACAGGGAGGGGCCCACTTGGCTCCCCGGTTTGTGACTCAAGCGGTCCTGATGTGCGCTCCCATCAGCCCCACCCTCTCTTTCCTACTCACCACTGTTGCTCCGTCTCCTGCTTGGCTCAAAGAATACTCCAGGCACTTCCTCTGGGACCTCGCCAAGGTCTGAGATCTGTGAGGAGAGAGAAGGGTGAGCTGGAGGCCTCGAGCACATCCTAGGCCAGGGCAGAGAGGCCTCAGGGGCGTGCTGCTGGCTGGGGACATAATGGCATTGCAACAAAATAAATAGAGCTTCACGTCAGTCCATCTTAGGTCCATCTGGGGCATTGGCTGTTTCTGCACAGGTCAAAGGGTACTCCTCCTCCTGTGACAGAATGGCTGCATTTTCTTTTCCTTTTGGATTTAGTCTCAGCACTATTCATGGTTTTGACCACGGGTCTCTCACCCTTGGCCTCCCTTTGGTATAACACTTCCCTGGTAAATCAGAGAAACCTGATGAGAAATTGTAATGGTGGCTTGAGGCGGGGAGGCCTGACATCAACTGAAGCTGGGCTCCTTCACATCTGAGGTGCACAGTGTGGCTGGTCCTCTGCCCGTGGCCCACGCGCATGATAGAAACCCAAGCTGAGCAAACGTTACGCTGTCTGCTCTCCCACCTCTGCACCCAAGGAATAGACATTCCAGTGTCGCCCCTGCTTGGTGTGATCTGGTGAAAGGTGGTGCTGCTCACCTCCACCTTCCCAGAGGAGATAGGGAAGGAGCCGAGGTGGGAGCTGAAGGGTGCAAAGATAACGCTAAAGGCTGATCACAGGGGCCCCAAGCGCTGTCCACTGAGCTCCATCTCACACCATCTGGGCACTTCGGCACGCCTTCCCTCTCACTCTGTCTTTCCTTCCATTTCCCCTTTACCTCTCCATCCTTCCTGCTTTCTCTCCTTCCCATTCTCCTTCCCTCCTGCTTTCTCTCCTTCCCACTATTGGACATATACCCTAAGATGGTCAAAGACAGACAGTGCCCAAATATACTCAGCCGCACTGTTTGTGGAAACTAAAACTGGAAGGCAGTGGGGGGTAAACTGAACATATGTACAAGGTGCACAAATGTAATGGTGTATTATTGTGCAGGAGGAAATGAAGATGAAAAATTCAGAGAAACATGGGACTTACATGCACTTCTGCCGAGTGAAGTGGGGAGAACCAGCAGAGTGGTACAGACAGAGGCTACAATAATGTAAATGAAAACACCACTAAAGGCAGCTGAGCTCTGAATAACTGTCAAAATGACAGGGGCTGGTTCAGGAAGATGGATGAGGAACCACACTTTCCCTCCTCTCTGTAGAGAGGTGGGGGACTACAGGAACAGAACACGTTGGTTGGCATTGGTTAGGAGGAAGGGTTAGAGGGCACGCACACCAGGGAATAATCGTAGTACAAAAATGACAGGCATCTTTGAAACTTTAATTTCAAGTCTATCCTTTGTTAACTGTAAATAAACAACACCCCGTCTATTAGAAATTCCAAGACTATTTGTGCTCCTAGAGGGAGAGATGCTTCCCAGTCTGCCAAGGGTGTGACCTGGGAGGATTCCCAAGCGCTCCAGTTGGTCAACCCAGAGCCATCCTTACCTCCTCCCCCTATCTCTGCACAGCCTCCCCCACCCCAGGGGGACTGACCATTCTGCCTGACATCCCTGAATCAGAGCGGTCTCCTCACGCCAGCCAGATTCAGGCCCCATTACATTTCAGATGGACCGTGACCATCGCCTCCTAACTGACCTCTGCTCCAGCTCACTCCCCTCTCTCACTCAATTGCCCAAATCATCTTTGCAAGGCAGAATCCTGACAATGTCTCAAGCCTTCAATGACTCCCTATGCCTGGAGGATAAACTATAGACACCTCAAATTGGCATCGGAAGCCCTTTGAGCCCCCTTCCCAGTCTAATATCTCGCGACCCACTTTCACACTCTTCACGGTCCACCCATAGGGTCCATGTGCTATTCCCCCAGCTCAACCTTCCAGGCCTTTGCATCGACTCCCTCTCCGGCTGGAGATGGGCCCCCTCCTGGCTTCTCCCTGCTCTGAAATTATCTTCATTCAGCCACTGCCTCCCATGGGGGGCAGGGGGAAGCTTTCCTGATACCCCCAGGAGTGCCCTACCCCTCCTCAGATTTCCTTGAGTTTATTTACTTCTCAGTGCCCGGGTCAATTAGGGCCAGAAAAAGAGTACTGAATGCTGAGTGGGCTGATGGCGGGGCGGATCGGGGAAAGTTCTAATGGGGGAGGCCTTGAAAGGAGGGGCAAGAGCAGCTACCAGGCCTAGAGCATCCTCCTATTCCCAAAGCACCTCTTGCCTGGCAGGGTGGCAGTGTTAGTGCGATTACCCTCATCTCACAGATGAGAAGACTGAGGATTGGAGAGGGGAAGAGATTTGCCCCTGGTCATATGGCTAATAAGCGATGGAGCTGAGATTTGAACCCAGGTCTTCAGACTGCTACACCATGCCCTACCTCTAGGACTCCCCCAGGTGGAGAAGAGGAGGGGGAAGGGAAGGCTGAAAGGGGCAGCACTGCTGGGGGTGGGGCACAGATGGGAAAGGCCGGCTCCCAGGGCCAGGGCCAGGGCCAGGGCCAGGGGTCATAGCAGGGGGCTGAATCTCGAAGGGAGAGCATTTCATATGCTTGGCCGTGTCAGAGAATCTGCCTGGGAAGCCCTGGTTTGGGTTTTGTTTCTGGTTGGAAGCAGCGAGGACCAGCAGACCCGGCGGGTAGACCCTTTGCAACCACCCCAAGGCACTGTGTTGGGAGTTAATTCAAGATGTACCCCGGAGGCTGCGGCTCCCATCTGTAATTCCTCACATGAATGCAGTTAGCAGGCTGACCAAGCCCTTTCCCGGGGCCACATCAGCTCCCTGGGGGGCAGATTCTCTCCCTCTGTCTCTGTCCCTCTGTCTCTGTCTCTGTCTCTCTTTCTTTCTGTCTGTCTCTGTCTCTCTCCCTGGTCTCTGTATCCTTGTCACTAGCCTGGCACCTAGCTTCATAAACAGGTAATAAACAGTAGGTGCTTAATAAATTCTTGTTGCTTGCGCTGCGTCGTCAGCAGATGTCACTGGGGAAATGCCAGACTTTCAGAGAAAGAGGAGGATTACAGAGTTCCGGTTGGGAGAGCTGGATCCACTTCCTGAGCTTCCCTTCTTGGTTTTCTGTGCCAGGGACGTTCCGAATCGGAGAGCCTCATACACTGGGTCCACCTTGTTACCGCAGGCTGCAACAGAACACAGGAGGCACCCATGAGAGGAACCTGGTCGTAAAGCCCGCCATCAGGGCCCTCCCCAATCTCCCCACTGGGAAGGGTGGCGGGAAGGGGGCCTCGTGGCCCGTCTCTGAGGGGCTCCCCCCCCCTGCCCAGACCTCATCCCGTGGTCTGGTGGGCACGTGCCGGGCACAAGTGACTCATGTCCACAGGACTCTGCTGGGCGCTAGGACACCCCTCTCTCAACCTCTTATTCTGGACCCTCCCTAACCCCAGGCTCAGGGTGACTTTGTCTCTTTGTCTCTGGTCCTCAAATCAACTTTCTCTTCTCATCCGTACGCCCTGAGAGAGAAGACCTGGACAGATGCTCTGTCCTCCCTCAAGGACACAGATGGGTGAGAAGTGGGTCCTACCAGGTCTCCTGGACTAGGGGCTTTAAAAAGTCCCCCGAAGCACACAGGCATGATGCTGAGACACCGGGGCAGTAGGAGAAAAACAGGAGGAATGTGACAGACGTAAAAAACCAGCCAGCGTGGCATCCTCAGGGTTATTTCCCCAAGGAAGAGGGCGAGAGATGGATGATAGAGGACTCAGAGCCCAAGCTTCTTTATCCCTTGGACAATGAAAGCCCTGATTTAGGGGACTCGGGGGTAAAAGACGAAGGGCACCACTGTCAGGGGCATGGGTGTGGCTAGGCTGGACGAGGCAGGACCAGCAGGAGGCCTGCTCAGCAGCCGGGGCAGCTCCCCACTCACCAATGGGCATGACTTCTCTGATGCACCCAAACTGCTCCTGGATGAGTAGAGGGGAGCTATAGTAGCGCCGGAACCCCTTGGGCTAGAGAAACAGAGAAGGCCTTAATGTCACTAGTGCTGGCAAGACCAACCCAGAATACCCCCATGGCAACAACATGGTCTCTGGGGGCATCCCTGCCCCTGCTCTGGGCTGTCCCGACCTCCAGAAGCCTCCTGCCTTTGGCTCTCTTCTTACCAAAGGGAGAACAAGGGAGTCATTTGGCCAAGAGCACCTTGAAGTGGGCAGGGCCTGCCTGGCATGAGGGAGCCAGCGGGCAACGGGGAATATGGCCCAGGATCCCCTGGAGGCCCAAGCGGCCCGTCTACCCTGGGTCTCTTCTCTCCCCTCTCCCCACCTCCTGCGTCTCAGATGAGGGCAGTAGGGCCAGCCCCCTGGAGGTCGGTAACCCCCTTTCCTGCTGGTAAATAAAGCCCCCGGTCTCATGGCATGAGATCAGCACGGCCACATTGGGGATGTCTCCAAAGGACCAGAGGGAGGCCCCTTGAGCAGCCCTGGGCTTGGAGGAAGAAAGATTTGATTTAAAATCCTGCCTGCTGCCATAAGCCACTCACCTCACCTCAGCTTCCCCATCTGTAACATGGGGACAATATCAGTTCACAGGGCTGTTGAGAGAGGCGGATGAGGTGATGCCTGTAAAGGGCTAGGCAGGTCTCCTGTGCTCTGTGAATAACCAGAGGCTGGCTTACCAGTTTGCCCACGCAGTGCTGGGGTCCAAGGCTGTCTGCACATTTGTGGTGGAGGCTCATTTTGCATGCTTTGCAGCGCAGACCCTGCTTGGTGTTGCCCCCTGCCAAAGACAGCAGGAGAAGTTTGTTATAGGCCAGGCTGCCTGCCTCCTGGCCTGGACCCTGAGCCTTGGGGCTGACCTCCTCCTGCTGCCTCCTCTGCCAGAAGACCCAGGGCAGGGACACCTTCCTCTGCTTCTCTGCCTAAGGTGGGGATCTGAGAATTCTCCACCCTCCCACCCGATATGGCCCCCCACTCCCCTCCCCCATCCAGAGCTCAGCCGGCCCCTCCCCAGCTGTGTGTCCCCAGCTTGGCCTCCGCCCATCCTGGAGGCCTGCCTCCATCTCCTCTTCCTGCAGCTCTGGGTGCACTTGCCCCACCCACCCCCCTTTACTCTGAAACTACATGGGGGGGGCAGCTGCTTTCCTAAATACAATGAAAGCTTCTTGAGGGCAGGAAGGGATATTTTATCTTTGCATTTCCTGGTCTAGCACAGTGCCAAGCTTGGAGTAGGTACTTAAGAAATGTTTGTTGATTGACTGAATGATTGGCCCTTGATTGGCAGGAGGAGGAGGCCTATCAGTAATACTGATGTTTGTAGAGTCTTGAAAAATCTCAGCGCCATCTGCTCCCTCCCTCCCAGTCCCAGCCCAGGGGTAGAGGAAGGGGGTGCCCAGGACCCAGAGGTAGAGCACCCCTCTGTCTGCAGCAAGCTCTGCCTCCCAGGCAGGAGCCCTTCCAGGCCAGGCAGGGCCTCTTCTCAAAGCCTGCTGGGTCTGGTGGAAGCAGCCAGAGCTCACCCCTGCTGGCATGGCCTTGGAGACCCTAGAGGCTCCTCTGGACCACCTTTGCTCCCAGGGTGGCTGGCAAAGAGATCAGGAAACAGCAGCCGCGGATGGGACACCATGATGCCTGTGTGGGATCTCCCTCCTTAAACACGGGACAGCAGCATCTCCCCGGGCTGCCTGGGCAACACTAGTCCTGCAGGACCAGAAGAGGCAGGCTTATAAGAGAAAGGGCCTTTCATTCTCTAGATCATCAGTGAAGTCTTTATCTGACCCCTCACTCCGGGCTCCCCTAAGGCGGCCCTCCTGGCACGAGAGAAAGGACCTTCCTGCCGAAGTGGGTGCTGAGGAGGGCCTCCTGAGGCCGACACAGGTGCTTTCCATCATTGAGGTTTTCACCTGACAAGACTCCCTGATCTCAGTAAGCAGAAATGCTTAAGAAAGTCTTCTTTGTGAGCCTCAAAGCTCCAGTGGAGCTGGAACATGGCAGCGCCTTGGGTGGGAGGGACTGCATCTGTACATCTGGAAAGAGGCCCTAGTACCCAAGGATGGCACTGCCTCACTCAAGCAGCTGGTCAATGTCTGCATTAGCCACTTATTCTGCACGGCCAATGTCCACAACTTAAATTTTAAGGTTTATCCTTTCTTATGAGGGACGCTGTCATGCAAATATCTTTGAGAGGCAGAGGAGCCCACTAGGAGGAGCCAACTGCCTGTGGTCAGTCTACCAGGGTCAGTCAAGATCACCCTTCTAACTCCCCCTTGTCACTGCTTCACTGTGACAGGGCTGATGCAAGGAGCTGCCTGGGGAGCTGGGGGGAGAGCACAGCCCCGGGAAGGGCGAGCAGCCAGTGGGTCAGGGTGTGTGAGCCAGGCTGGGAGATGGGGGGCACTGTGAGCAGGATGGAGAGAATCAGCATCCTGACCCCGCTGATGATTTCTGTGGAGGGCACCCTCACTCTGGCCACCCAGGCTCCTGAGTTCAAAGGCTTCCTCAAGCCCTCTGCCAAGCCTGGTGGGTTTTACCTTCTCAGTATCTCATACCCGTTCTTTTCTCCCAGAGGGCAGCCTGGGGTTCAGGAGGGCTGGGCTGGAGTCCAGGCTCTACACTCCTGCAGTCAGCTGGACGCCCGCCTCACTCGCCTATACAGCAACAGGCTTGGGTTGGCCATGACGACCCTGCTCCATTCCCTTCCAGCTTGACCAGTGTATGTATGGCTGTGATGATGAATTCTGGTCTTCTGAGCCTCCCTTGGACATTGGTGATTTGACTGCTCCCATCTGTCCCTTCTGGAATCTCAAGCCTCAGCGACTCTTTCCAGACTTGGGTTCATTTCAGACTCTCAAGCTGGAAGCCCATCATGGCAAAGACATCCTCTCCTTTTCACCCCAGCGCTTGTGTGGACATGCAGCCTGGGCCAAGAGTGAGTCAGCTGTCTGTCTCTGGGAGTAAATGCAGTCTGAGTTATGGGTCTGTCATTGGACCTGGGCTTAGAAGCAAAACTCAGGTGGGAAGTAGAGGTCAGACATCACTGAAACTTGGTGTAGGAGGCATGATAGTCGTGATTGAAAACTATTGTTTGATGGTAGCTAGGTGGCATGGTAGACAGACTTCCCTGAAGTTAGTAAGATCTGAGTTCAAATCCAGCCTCAGACACTAGGAAATATATTATTTGATGTTATAGTTCTAAGTGATTGGACTCCAATAAGGAGGACTTAGGTTGTGTTCTAATGACCATAGGCAGCCTGTATTTTTCACTGTCCTGAGTCCTTCTGACCAATGATCTTGGCTTCTCATTGGACAAAGCTCCTGGCTGACTGCAGAGGCTGTGTGCCAACACCCTTTTCTCAGGTCCCCATCATCGACTCAAACCCTCACCCCATTTCTGGTTTTGTTTAGGAAACTCCCCCACCTGAGTCTGGTATTGATAAGTGAGCCAGGAATTTCCCTACCACATTTGGGTCTGATATCTGGCATCGACGACCTGTTCTCACTCAGGCCCATCTTTAAGGTATCAACCTTCCTTGCTCAGCCCTATCTCTGAGAGTGTCCTCCCACCAGGATCATTGCCGCTGAACATGTCTCCCTGATGTACTTTGTGTCGAATGAGGCTGGCCTTATGCATTTGGCTGAATCTCTATCAGTATCACCAGTGTGTGTGTGTGTGTGTGTGTGTGTGTGTGTGTGTGTGTGTGTGTGTGTGTGTGTGTGTGTATGTATGTGTACTTTGCTTTTTGCCTGTTTGTTGCGCTGCATAGGAATAAAGCTCATGCTTTCTTATACCAATTTCCTATAAATCCTCAAACCCAGATCTTTGCTCTAAACCAAGCTGTGAGGCCAAATGAAGCACGTGGTGTTTGATTCCTGGAGCTTCAGAAATGTAAGCAGAATCCCAGCTCTGACCTGGAGAGGGTCTTTGGAAGCATCTAATTCAATCCCATTCCTTGTACAGATGAGGAAACTGAGCTCCAGAGAGGTGCTGGGATGGGCCTAAGGCCAGCCAGGAAGCAAGGGTCAGAGCCAAGTTGTGAACCCAGGCTCTCTGCCTCCCCCATCTGTGATGCAAAGCAAGATGCCATAATGGGACCTCACAGGGAGGGGAGCAGGGACTGAGGAAGTGTCTCTCTCCCAACCCCTGCACGTGGGTTGGAAGAAGAGCCCAAGGGAAGAGACAGGTGGTCTGGGTCTTTGCCCTGGCTCTGACAATGTTCTCTGCTCTTAGAATATTCTCCGCCCTCCCTGCCTGCCCCCTCTGACTTTCTAGCCTTTGTCAGGACTTGGTCCAATGCCACCTCCCAAGAGATGCCTTTCTGAGCCCCCACGCCCCTAGACTGGGCTCCCCCCAAATAACTTAGTGCTGATTTTGTATTGGCTCACTGGGCAGCACCCTGGCTCCGCCTTAGAATGTTAACGCACTGGGAGTGGGCGATTTTGCTTCTGGTCTTTGCACACCCATCCCTCTGGAGACCAGGTGTCCTGCCACGGAGGCCAAGTCCACGAAGTGTGGCATCTCCGGAGCTCTTCACAGGAAAGTGTCACTAATTCTCCATCTGCCCCAAATGCTTCTGTTGGCCTGGGAGTCAGGAGACCGGCCTGCATCTAGTCTTGGGTGCCTCGGACTTAGGGAAATCACTTCTCTCTGGAACTTCTGCAAGAACTCGGCATCCTCATTTATAAAGCATTGGTGCCTGTATGTGATCTGTATGTGACCCACTCCCCTCCCGGCAGGGCTGTGGCTTGGGAGACACCCATGTGTGTCTGTGCCCAGGAAGGGACCTTTATCCATCCTGAAGGATGTCCGAGCTACCTGCTGATGGGGCCGCAGTCCACCCTGGCACCCTGGGCTGACACCTGACGCCTCGTGCTGTAAATTTCCCAGCATGTATTAATAAGGGGAAATGAAGGGAGGCAGCCTGGCTGGAGTGGAGCTGGAAATCAGCCCTGGTTAGTCTGGGTTTGCAGAAGCCCATTTTAACGGGTCATCTAGATGGCACAGGTGAAGAGGGTGTCTTGATGGAGTCCAGATCAGCATGAGGGGGTGGGAAGGGTTCTGTCTGCACCCAGCCTCGCAGCCAGCTGTCAGCCTGAAGGTGAAGGCTGAGTGTCAGCAACAGGTGACTGTAACAGGAAACTGGGTGTGACCTGTGAGGCTGGAGGCCTCAGGTGGTAAATCCTGCCATGCCCTGGGAGGTAGGAGGAGCATCCGGCCTAGAACGAGGAGGCGAAGCTGGCCTGGCTCTGGGAGCCCTGAGCTGGAGCACACACAGGCTCTCACAGGGTGGGGGAGCCCTGAAGGAGAATCTGTCATCCGCACACAGCCACGGAGGAGGGGCCAGCATTGGCGATGGGGCCAGGATTGACCCTGTGTGTATGGCCCTTGCACACAAGGGCACTGGGTGCTGCAGGCCCGGGGTCTATCTTGGACTGGGGTGTATAAAACTTGGGATCCTTCTCCATAGGCCGCGGTCAGGGGGCTACCACCTCCTTGCCTCCCCAGGTAGGCTTTGGGAGGGCAGAAAGCTCTGTTTGAGCCTTTCCTCATAAACTGTCCCACAGAGGAAGAACAAATCCTTCAGATTGGTGGACCTGTATGGTCAGTCATCAGGGCCGTCTCCTGTAGGGGCTACCAAAGGAAGCAAAAGGTCCCCAGGCCTCCATGGGTCAGGCCAGGCAGGTTCTGTCCTTCAGGCTTCATGTCCTGGTTCCAGAGCATGTCACGCCCCTGCTGAAAGCCTCCAGGGATTCCCTGGTACCTTGAGGATCTGTCTGCTGTCA